AAAAGAAGTGGGAGACAAATGAAAGGAAGTGGCCTGGGAGACAAATGAAAAAAATTGGGAGGCAAATGAAAGGAAGTGGGAGACAAGCCAGCCGGGAACCCCGACTGAAAAGAACTGGGAGACAAAGGAAGTGGGAGACAAGCCGGCTGGGAACCCGACCAGACCATCCAGCACCAAGGCGACCATTCTTTAAAGCATTGAGAACCCCTAACAGTAAACTGTTTGGGGAATGAAAAGAAGTAGGAGACAAATGAAAAGAACTGGGAGACAAATGAAAGAAGTGGGAGACAAATGAAAGCACGTGGGAGACAAGCCAGCCGCAAACCCGACCACAAGCACCCAGGGAGACAAATGAAAAGAAGTGGGAGACATATGAAAGGAAGTGGGAGACAAGCCAGCCGGAAACCCGACCACAAGCACCCAGCCTGGGAGACAAATGAAAAGAAGTGGGAGACAAATGAAAAGAAGTGGGAGACAAATGAAAAGAAGTGGGAGACATATGAAAGGAAGTGGGAGACAAGCCAGCCGGAAACCCGACCACAAGCACCCAGCCTGGGAGACAAATGATAAGAAGTGGGAGACAAATGAAAAGAAGTGGGAGACAAATGAAAGGAAGTGGGAGACAAATGGAAGGAAGTGGGAGACAAGCCAGCCGCAAACCCGCGACCACAAGCACCCAGCCTGGGAGACAATGAAAAGAACTGGGAGACAAATGAAAAGAAGTGGGAAAGGAAGTGGGAGACAAGCCGGCCGGGAACCCAACCACAAGCACCGAGCCTGGGAGACAAATGAAAGGAAATGAGACAAGTGAAAAGAAGTAGGAGACAAATGAAAGGAAGTGCGAGACAAGCCAGCCGGGAACCCGACCACAAGCACCCAGCCTGGGAGACCAAAAATGAAAAGAACTGGGAGACAAATGAAAAGAACTGGGAGACAAATGAAAGAAGTGGGAAACAAATGAAAGCACGTGGGAGACAAGCCAGCCGCAAACCCGACCACAAGACCCAGCCGGACAAATGAAAAGAAGCGCGAGACAAATGAAAGGAAGTGGGAGACAAGCCAGCCGGGAACCGGACCACAAGCACCCAGCCTGGGAGACAAATGAAAAGAAGTGGGAGACATATGACAGGAAGTGGGAAAAGAACTGGGAGACAAATGAAAAGAAGTGGGAGACAAATGAAAGGAAGTGGGAGACAAGCCAGCCGCGAACCCGACCACAAGCACCGAGCTTGGGAGACAAATGAAAAGAACTGGGAGACAAATAAAAGGAAGTGGGAGACAAGCCGGTCGGGAACCCGACCAGACCATCCAGCACCAAGGTGACCATTCTTTAAAGCATTGAGAACCCCTAACAGTAAACTGTTTGGGGAAAAACCTGACGTGTCATCTCAGTCCCGTGTCTCACGGCAAATGTATTTCAGCAAGCAAAGTGCACGTTTTGATTGAACCTCGAACAATTGTAAACTAGGAATCCATAGGTATGGAACGATGGGTATGGAACGGCGAACAGACATGCTGTTCCACAGGTATGGAACGGGGTATGGAACGAGATGTTCAAGAGTACATGTTCCATACCAAAACGTTTTGACTCATGGCCATATATCTGTGTGTGTGTCACCCTTGGAGTCATAGGGATGCTTTTGCATTTGTTTTACCGCAGGGGAACTGGGCACTCTGTGACTGACCCAGTTCAACGAAGCTAGGTCACAAAGTGGGATATTCGGACTGATCATCCGAACGTACCTGCTATTTTCCATTTTCTGCATGGCGCGAGGCTAAGCCAAGAACCTCACTACCCGGTTTTCTTCAGAGCTTCAGTTCTTTTCTGCAGATGTGCACGAGCCGCCGTCAACCTGTTCGACTCGCTCGCCGCCTTCGACCTTACGCTTTTGGCCCCACTTCCTCTTCCAGACCCCAGGATCCGATGGTCCCTACTGGTTTTCTTAGGAAATGGAACCCTAGGCCGGCGTGTGGCACCGCATTCACATCAGTACGCATATCCATGAGTGTGTTTGGCTTCGTGCCAACCCGGGATGAGCCCGCAGAGTGCCTCCCGTGGACCCGTCGAACGGGTGTACGTCCCTGTTTCCTTTGCTCTGGAAACGTACGTGCCCACAGCGGGCAGCAGTTGGCTAATGCCGTACGTCCGATGATTTATGTCTCATTTTTGGAATTCCAAGCTGGCTCATGCCTTTACGTGACCGCAGCGGTCAAAGCAGCCAGCCATTTCGGCAAGGCACAAGGTGACCAGAGCGGTCAAAGCCAGTTTTAGGTTCATTGGAACCTGTTGGACACTTAGGTGCACATACATCGTACACACTTCAACGAGGCAGGTCTTCCTAGGTTGTTGTAATGAGGTTTGGTTTCATCGGTTCCCGTCCCCTCCATTTGGTTCCCCTTTCACCTTTTCCCCTTCACACACACTTCTTTTCCTCTTTCTTTTCATGCCTTCCCTTGCTTCATGTCCGTTCATCTCACTCCTTTCGTTCTTTTGCGCGTACAATGGTCCGGGCCTTAGTGTGTACGCGCACATCTACTTTCAACTCAGGTGTTAGGTCGCCCAGGTCTCGACAATGAGGTGGGCTCATCGGTTGTCCCTGTGCACTTGGTTTCCCTTTCATTGCAACCACACACACTTTTGTCCTGTCTGTCTTCCTTTTCATGTCTTCATCCTTTTGTCCTTTCTGCGCGCACATTGGCACATTCGTCCTAGCCTTAATTTTGCCTCCCCTTGGGGAGGCGTGTGTGTGTGTCACCCTTGGAGTCATAGGGATGCTTTTGCATTTGTTTTACCGCAGGGGAACTGGGCACTCTGTGCCTGACCCAGTTCAACGAAGCTAGGTCACAGAGTGGGATATTCGGACTGATCATCCGAACGTACCTGCTATTTTCCATTTTCTGCATGGCGCGAGGCTAAGCCAAGAACCTCACTACCCGGTTGTCTTCAGAGCTTCAATTCTTTTCTGCAGATGTGCACGAGCCGCCGTCAACCTGTTCGACTCGCTCGCCGCCTTCGACCTTACGCTTTTGGCCTCACTTCCTCTTCCAGACCCCAGGATCCGATGGTCCCTACTGGTTTTCTTAGGAAATGGAACCCTAGGCCGGCGTGTGGCACCGCATTCACATCAGTACGCATATCCATGAGTGTGTGTGTGTCTCAAGTGTGCTTCACCTGGACTCACAGAGTATCCTTCATGAGTTGAAACCACAAAGTGCGGTTTGCGGAAAGACATCACCATCACTTGCAACCTCTCAGTTCGGCACACTGGACCGGGAGGCGGAAGGCCTGCGTGGCCCGCTCTCTCGGTGAAGTATGGGGATCCAAAAGCGTATCGGTGGTGGGACGCGGATTCCGCCGTCGACGCAGAAATTAGCCCGCGGATCTCCGGACGAAAGAACCCCCCTCACTGGCAAAATGCAAGCGAGAACAAACAACAGCGAAATGATCAACTGTCGAGAAGGACTGAGCTTCCAGCGTCCAGGTTGCTGGAATGCCGTCGGAAGACTACGGCTTTCATGCCAGCGACCACATCCCGCACGTGGACCCTGCCAGCAACCACATCCCGCTCGAAAGACGCCCAAGGCTTCGGTTAGCTGTGGGCATTGCTGGCCCAACTATGCTTTTAAAACAACACGAGATGCACACCGCTGTTGTTCAAGGGTCGCCAACTCCAAATCCGAAATTGGTTGGTGGACCAAAGACGCGCACCGCCGTTCTGTCGTGCCACCTTCTCTACTTCATTTTAACCTGAGAGCCTCCCAGCCAGCCTCCCGTTGTGGTCCACATGTCTCACATCCTGCAGTGTTCGGGAGCATTTCCAGTTGTGGAATAGCACAAGTTCGGATGGTGGTCTTGCCATTGGCGGAGTTCAGCTGCTTCCATCTGCCTTTCTTTCTTTGCGAAAACATGCGGACCCAAGAAACCCTCTCCGGGGAACGTGACGATACCTATCACACGGTTCACAAGCACAACAAACGCCAACCGTTCAACCAGGCAGAGAAATTGCAAGTAGTCTGTGTCCGTAGAATCCAGCCCATTCGGACTCCCCTGAGTTTCCCAAATGGCCTGCCCCAGCTGCACCAAACCACGTGCCAGGTCTGTGGCGTGGAATGGAGATTCCGAGTCCTGGAGTCCGCACAGTGGCGCAGATTCCCAACACAGAGCCCGCAGAATCCCCTCAGCTTGTATTGATGATGTTGATGGTATTGATGGTGCTTTTTGCATATGAAGCCCTCTTTTTCAAGTCTCATCCAAACAGTCCCCCTCCTTTTGGTGCCAAGGACTGCATTCAGAGAAAGTGTCCAGACCAGAGGTGTTTGGCGCAATAGACCGCAGCGAGCATCGACCGCCGACCCAAAACGAAAAGGCCGATGGACCGATGACCTCGGGCCTCGCCCTGCTTGGCTTCTCTCCGCTCTCGGCCTTTCTCCATCAGGGCAATCACACCCTGCTCGATGCTTCCAGCCTCACGTTTCGAGGAGGGAGCCTTGCATGCTTGGAGGTGAAAGTCGAACATAAAAGGAATCGTAAGCCTGGTATGGGATCTGCGCCTCCAAAAAGAATTCGTGTCTACGCAAGGTCGAGTCTAGCTTCTGTGGATTCCCAGTCTGTGCAGGTCGACACAGGAAGTTGCGCCTCACAAGCCTTTATTGACTTTATTGTAAACTATTTTGATCTCCCATGCCGATGTGTGTCCGATAGCTTCTCTTGCTTTTCTCTTCCTCCTATCACCGGTATTTGAAGACACCCCGCCCCAGCAGACCTTCGCAGCTGCAGCAACACCCGGGGCAGACGTCACTGATTTGAGATAGAGCGTGCCTGTGCTGTCCAGCAATGTCTTTTCCAACATGGTGATTGAGACACCAAATCTATTCATCATATCTTCTTAGTCACACCAATTTCTTCTCTTTGGTTGTGGGAGAGGACATCACCTTCCAAGCTTTTCATTGGCCATGGGCCTCCCTTCACAGTCACACCCGCCGCCGAGAGGTTCATGACCCACTTGGGCACACGGCGAAGGCCTAACCTCAAGTTGACAAATTGGAAGTCCACAATACTCAATGAGCATTAGATACATAGTGTTACTCATTGTTACTCATTCAACTCAAGACGTGACACTTACTTGCTCTTACAAGACACATTCAGGGAGCCACGGTGTTTACCTTCTCTCTCGCAGAGCAGCTCAACTAGGCCCTCCCTACTGGTAGCAAAAGTCATCGGAGAAGTGGGTGCAGTTCCGCTTGAGGAGGTCGTAGTCCGGCCTCATGCCGATGAAGACAGCAGCGTCCTTTGTCTCACCCCTATCTGACCACCCCCGTCGGACAAAATCGAGGGCACCGAAGTGGTCTCCACTCCGGTCGGGCTGCTTGCGAGCCGCCCACGCCAGTCCAGCTTCATGGCATCAATGATCTCATGGACCTCCTCCTCCGTGCGTCCTCAAGATGAGATGGTTCTCATCAGCCAGCATCTCAAAGCCACTGTCTCAACTCTCTGAATGCCTCAAGCCCCGAGTCTTTCAACAAAACTGTCAAACAAGATCTCACAACCCCTGCCGAGGAGCTGGTGTGGCCCATGGGCACGGACTCTCGGAAGTGATGTGCCTGGAAAGCAGTCACATCACAGGGCCAGAGTCGAGGAGGAGAAGCATATGTCATATGCTTTCATTCAGGATTGGTCAGCCCATGGGCTGTGAAGCCCACCAACAACGGGAAGTCAAGACATTTAGTAATGAGAAACCTGGACTTTCTGGGCTCTGTAAGCATCGTATCACCTGTAGGAGGGTCCCACCACCAACTCCCCGATCTCTTCTGCACCTTGCAACTCCGAGGTTGACAACTGAAGACCCCGGAGCCTCACGACAAACGAGAGAAGCAAACAGGAATGCTCTCACCAACAAACTCGCTATGTATTAGGTTGGAGGCCATCGCAATTAGGTTGGAGGCCATCGCTATTAGGTTGGAGGCCATCACTATTAGGTTGGAGGCCATTGCTATTATTATGTTGAAGGCCATCGCTATTTGGTTGGCGGCCATTGCTATTAAAGGGTTTGAGTATTAGGTGGCTTTGCTTTTATAAGTGTGTGAATTTGTTTAAACAATGCTTTCGCCTGTGTGTCTTGGGCACTGCCTTGGACACATTGCATTGGCCGGGCAGTTTTTTGTGCAGGGCGCAGCGGCGTCATTTGCCAGCAGCAGGCAAGCGTCAGCTATATATATATATATATAGGCTTTACAGCATCACAGGTCCGTAAGCAACGCCAAAATGAAAACGTAACACAGTCGCCTTTGGATTTCCCATAGCTCCACTCCAAGCCATAGACCTTAGGTCCAAGCATTGACACAAAGCTGACCCGGGCATGCCTTTGACAACGGCCAGGCTGGTAGCCCGACAACCCCAAGACACAAGACTCACATGAGTGTTGAAAACAATTCATTCCATCAGATGCTCAGGACCCCGCTTCCACTGCAGCATGAAAAATGCCAGTTCCCAACTTATGGAGAATATCATTGGCCTCTGGGACCGGCTCTGCTCTGCGCCAACAAAGGGCAGTAAGCAAAAGGAAATAAGATGGAGCCCACGAACCCCAATGCAAACACATATGTCAAACCACTGTGTATAGAAAGAGACACAGCCGGTTAGATTATCTTTTTCACATTCCGGTACGCTGTTGGACATCATGCGCTGGGGACCCCACCACCAAGGCAGCATGTGCTGGGGACTTCACCACCAAGCTCGGTCTTCGTCATGAAGGGTGTTCGTTTTGCATTCAAATCAAGCACTGGCGTAAAGGTTCTGGCAGATCCACATCACGAAAGAAACAATGGCATTGTCCCAAAATCTCGAAGGACGCTCTTGTGGGACACTCTTGTGGGACACTCTGACACTCTTGTAGGACACTCTGGTGGGACACTCTGGTGGGACACTCTTGCGGGACACTCTTGTAGGAAACTCTTGTGGGACACTCTTGTGGGACACTCTTGTGGGACACTCTTGTAGGAAACTCTTGT